AGGAAATGGATGACATATGCCAACATGTAAATTTTTAGACACTAGTTTGGAATTGTGGAATGACATCCAGGCAACAATAATGATTCCTGGCATCTGGAAGGAAGTCTTCAAAAACTGTTAATGCTGCCACCCAACCAGAGTAAGTAGTTTGTTATCTGTCAGCAATTTTATTGAACCATTCATACTGAAAATAAGATATTAAATATACATATCGGTTATATTTTTTACCTGAGCAACAGATATAGAAATCTGTCCCGAAATGGCATGATGAGGAGGTATTTACGATAGACACTGATCTGGAGTAGAGTGTGGCATCTGGAAGGAAGTTGTCAAGTTTATTTGAGATAATGCGAAAGAAGTCGAACACAAATAAATATCAATTTCAGTGCCAAGTTGTACGAAATGTAAGCAACAATGCTGCTTGTTTGGTAATGGTTATGCTGAATCCAATTGTAGGAGAAATGTGCCTATCATGGCATCTAAATTTTTATTAAAAATGTGATCAAAATTTTCATTCGACTACATTTACACTACATTACAGATCATTAACAATTATGAATTTTCTTCATATTTAGAAAATTAACGAATGAAGTCATAAAAATATTTGCACTCTTTATCATTCAACCCACCGTGTAAATATTGACTCTTAATAGTCAACTTGCTGTAATCCATATACAAGGTCTGTCTGAAAAGTAATGTGACTGGTGTCACAAACAATTTATTTCAATTCCAAAACTACATGGTTTCACCTTCAAAGTAATCCACTGAGTCTAATACACTTTTCCATTCTTCTCTGCCACACTTCTATGCACTGCTGGAAGCATTCTTCTAGGATGCCCCCTCAGCTCTGTTGCTACGGCCCTCTTGATGGACTCCACACCTTCAAAATGGGTCCTCTTGAGCTTGGGAAAAAGAAGTCACACAGACCAAAATCAGGTGAATAGGGAGGGTGTACCAGTACGGCAATGTTCTTCTTGGCCAGGAACTGCCATATGCTTAGGGTGTTGTGAGCAGGTGCATTGTCATGGTGAAGCAGCCATGATTTGTCCTGCCACAACTCATCTCTTCACTTGCTGATTGATCGTCTCTTGTAGCAGACTTGCTGATTGATTGTCTAGCTCTGTGGCAAGAACCCACTGTGGACAATGCCCACAGCTCACACAGCACATCCAGTCCCACTACTTTTCAGACAGACCTTGTATACTCTGCCGTAATATATGACAACATCATTGCAAATAATGCGGGAAGCACGCAAACATTGGGACTAGTCAAAGTCAAACAGTGAGTCTTGGAGAGCTGATATTTATGAGGCAGGTTTCAGTGTGTTGAATGCAGAAGGGTCAAGGTTCAGAATAATTCAAATAATATGTCTAAATTATCGTAGATGACATGTTACTCTTTAAATGAATTTTCATGACTTTTTCAAGTTTCACATTATTAGCCAGTCTACTCAAATTTCAAATGTTGTAATTAAAAATTATAATTCAGAAATTGTACAAAATTTACAAAGATAGATATTTTAATCAAAAATATATCATTATAATGATAAAGTTATAAAACCACGATAAGAGTGAGATGTATGCAACATATTTTGAAAACTAGTTTTAGAAGTTATCCATCCATATACAATCCATTGCTAAAGATCCAGATAAAATGGTCAGCTCCCTGTACCACTCCAGTAAGTACCTGACTCCTCATGCTATCCTCTACCTTTATAAGAGCCAGATCAAGGTGAAAATGAAGTACTGTTGTCCTATTTGGGCAGGAACTGTCCAGTCCTCCTTTTCCAGTCTTGATAGATTTCAAAAGTGTCTCTGAGTCCTTCTCTCATTGATCATTCACTATGTCCATGGAAAGTTCTAGGATAAACTACATCCCTTGGCTTGTCCAGGTCTAACCCTCACAGCTAGGAGTTGACATGCCACTTACATAGTAGCAAACCACCCAAATTCCCTCCATATTCCATTGGTGAAAAGTAAGTTCCACTCAAACAGCTTCTTCCAGTGAACCACTGCCCTGTGGAACAGGCTCCCAAGTTTAGAGTTAATCATTATCTTCCCATCCTATCCATATAAACTACCCCTTAATGTAACCCTCTACATCGAGTGCCCCCACTCGGCTTGTACAGTGTGAACTTTATTGTAAAAAAAAAAAAAAAGATTTTTATGAGCCATTGTATTTCTTCATATGGAATAGATCAAATGACTTCTAGAACAGCACCCCAAAGCCTATTTTTGCTGTTAAATTGCTATTCATCAATATAAACCTTTCTCTTCTGTGTACTCTATATATTTTCAATTGAGTCAAGGTCAATCAAAGAAGTTAGCAACTTTATCAGATAAGTGTATTTGAAAAAAAAAACATTCAAAAATTCATTCATTTTCTTCACTGAACATGATAGAGTATTGTGTATAAAAAAAAAATCATAATCTTTTTGAAAGTGTTTAGCTTCTTGAACAAAAGCTCTATGTGTTCTTTAAAAAAAAAATCAATGCCTGTCTGAATGGTCATCTTAACATCATCTAGAACTCACCATGAGAACAACACTATACCACCTATAATCCCCTACCAAAACATCACAATAACCCCATAATGTTGACATCATAACCTCTAGAGACAGTTTGTTATTAGCCATGTCTGTTTCATTGAGGAGAGCAAAGGACAAGAAATTGTGGAGAGCCATGATTACCAACATCCTGAAGGGACATGACACATAGAAGAAGATGATGTGAAGACTGGCATTATTACCCTAGTTAGAAGAAGTAGGCTAAACTTGTTTTGTTAAGCAGAAGATGAGAGCAAAGCTTTGTGTATTGATCCTAAAAAGACAATTTCCCTGGCAAAATAATGTTTCCATTTTTTAATCATTTTACCACAAGGAAGACTATAATGCCAATAAAATGCAATGGGTTGCTGGGAGTGAAAGAAAATGAGAAACTTTATTTGGGAGAAAGGACAATAAAAGAACATGATTCAGGAAGGCAGAAGGTGGTAACTGATGTTGCATTTAAATTTTTAAAGATTGTAGGGGGAAGAGAAGGAAGAAACTGGAAGAAAGTTCCACAGGCATGAAGCACAAGAAACAAAAGTATCAGAATAAAACTTATTGTTACATTTTGCTAATTCAATGGTAAAATGATAGGACCTAATTACAAATCTAGTACTGTGCTTCAATTCATTCAACCAAGATTCCAAGGAAGAAAACTCAGAACAACTGCCATGAAAATATTTATAGAAAAGACAGAAGGAAGCCATGTCATGGTGATAGGAAAGTGACTCAATTTGAGATGCCAGATCAGGTCTGATAACATTACAGACCCTTCTTTGGATTTTGTCAAGAATCTTGTGATATATAGCAGGAGTACCAGACTAGATATGGCAGTAACATTCAATGTATGAATGAATGATAGATTTATAAATGTGCAAGATGGATTCCCCTGAGAAAAATTGTCTGGCATGGAACAGTGAACGTAATTTCCTAGCAGCAGACCTAGCAATTGATTCAAGATAATCTTTCCACTTTAAAATGGGGGAAAACATGAAACCAAGAAGGTGCAATGATTTGCTCTCCTGATGTTTAGCATCAGCCATGGGGTACACCAACAAAAAGATGGGGAAACCAAAAACCTGCTGACCCTTTTTTAAAAAACTTTTAGCTTTTAACAAACATTTATCTATCAGATCAGTCTTTTGACCAGTTTAATGTTTCAAACTCACAATATGGCTATTAATTTAAAACTCACACTATGGCTATTAATTTCAAACTTTGAAATACAGGACATTTCATTCAAATGGTCGCCATTTGCCAAAAACTCCACAAATGAAAGTGACCACTATTACTAACCTCCAGGAAAGTGACCCATTGCATGTTCTCAGGCTAATGTTCTCAGCTGACATGAAGTGGAAAGACTATATTGAATCCATTGCTAGGTCAGCTGATAAGATAGTTGATTCACTGTGTCGTTCAAGACAATTTTTCTCTCTAGATTCTATCTTACATATCTATAAGTCTACCATTCACCTATGCTTAGAATATCACTGACACATATGGTCTGGTGCTGCAGTTATTTATCTAGAGCTCCTTGATAAAATCCAAAGAAGAATCAGCAATAATAATGGTTCTAATCTGGCTGCTCAGCTTCAGTCACTTTCCTACTATTGTAAGGTTTCTTCTCTGTGCATTTTCTATAAATACTTTCATGATAATTGTTTGGATGAGCTCTTTGCTATGGTACCCAGACTTTTGAATTTAAATGCAGTACTAGACTGCCGCCAAGATCTCATCAATTTACAGTAGAGCTGGCTAGATGTAGCCATAAATTCTATGCTGATTCTTTTTTTCAAACTTGGCCAACTTTAGTCTGAAAAAATTTAAATGCAATGTCAATCACTATCTAGTCTCCTCCTGATTACTCTTTCCTCTTCCCGCTCCTTATTAATGTTTCTGTTCCTAATTGTTACACATTGTTACACACCCTGTAACTCCTTGTGTCATAGTGTAGTGAATTGGGCTAAGCAAAAAAGAAAAAAAAGAAAAAAAGGAACATCTTAATTAGAAAACTTCAAATATTTGATAAAATGTAAGACAGCAGAAATATCATTTCATATAACAAGGTTTTAATACATTTTTCAATCTTTAATAAATAAAATATTTGTCACCAAACAAGTGTAAATTATACAAAAAGAAAAATAAACATCCATTTTCAATATTTTATGAATACTTTTAACTTCACAGTGATAAAAAAACATATTGATCGACTTATACATTCATTTGTCTATTGAAGCTTATCAATTGTTTGCGGATTATTTAAATATTATTAGATTGTAAGAAATTTTAGAGATAATAATGATTTACTGATACAAATCTTACTAATTAACCCATAGATAGGGATAGAAGAGGTGGATTCATACCTTTCCCAAGAGTAATAGTGTGAATTTGGAATTCGACTCAATGATTTCCGATTCCATGATATTTATATTGCACTATCTGGACATCAAAGCTTACAGCATCTGGTATTCCCAAATGATCACCCATCTAGGTACTGACCAGGCATGATATGGCTTAACTTAGGTGATCATATGAGAACTGGTGTTTCAGTGTGATATAACTGTATGCCTTGTTGCAGCTTGTGGAAGGGCTAATCAATTATGATCTTCAAAAATTATCTCCTGAAATTCCCCTTTTGCTATTTTTTAACTGGGGACCAGTCAATTTAAATATTACTGACAGGCTTATTATAAATTGTTTTAAAAGATTACAGTGAAAATCAAATAAAACCTATTTTTACATATTTGACTTTTTGAAATTTACAAATTCATTTTTGATTTCTGTCTAAATTTCTGGGATGAGGAATTACCATTATTTACATTATTTATATTCAGACTATTGTCCTCATCTTCATTGTTATCAAAACGTTTCAGCTGTTGGTTTGGGAATTAGGTGATTGTGAGATTAATCCCTGAGTATGGCAATGTGTACTTGTGAGTAATAACTTTCAGCTACACTTTTAGCCATTATCAAGGATAATTTTCTTTTTGCTTTTAACAGAAAACAATCCAAACATTCAGTTAAAAGTATAAATAAAATCATCCTTGCTAAAATTATAGCTAAAAGCGTTCAGATATACAAAACATTTGGACAATTTATGTCCAGAAAAAAAGAAAACTATAAGAACACAAGAAGAATTAAATAAAAACTTAACAGTAGTACCTTTTCCATTATTTTTTTAATGAAACTTGTATAAAAGAGGGATTGCTGCCCAAATACAAAATTATATATATATATATATATTAAAATAAAAGATTTGGTCTACATGTGCTTCTTATAATATGTAGATTTAATTGACTGGTTAGTAAGTCCCACTTTGTTTATTCTTTGTCTCTTTGAAAAAGGACATAGGTGTGTCTGAAAATTCCAACTTTAAAATCTTTCTCTTTGTGCTCAGTCAAAAGGCTAATATATAATAAATATCATCAATCTTATTGCTAATATCATTATCATTTTATTGTCTTTTTATTCCTCAAATTTCATTAACTGACCTATTAAGTCTACATTCACATATAGGTGGGTAAATCAAATAACTAGATATTAGCAACTGAAGAAAAATTTGGAAAAAACAAACAAAAATCCTTAAATGCAATTATGTTGTTTAAAATGAATGAAATGTCGACGTCTGACGTTTCGGTTTAATAAACCTTTTTCAAGACAATATTCATTAAAATACAATTCAGTTCAATTTAACAAAGACGATGGACATAAAAAACAAGTCTTATCCAAAAAAAAAAAAAAAAAAAAAATTTGTATTTTAATGAATATTGTCTTGAAAAAGGTTTATTAAACTGAAACGTCAGATGTCGACATTTCATTCATTTTAAACAACATAATTGCATTTAAGGATTTTTGTTTGTTTTTTCCAAATTTTTCTTCATTCTGTCGGATTTATATCCATTTACATTTGCTTACATATTAGCAACTGTATATGCACACATTAGCATGCATACACAGGTAAGCAAATAAATATTTACGAAATTTACTTTAACGTGTAAACATAACAGTGCTCAATGTAGTTTGACAGAGCTAAAAAATATGTTAATAAATATACATATACTTACGTTTGGGGTGTGACTTAAATTTTGTTGTTTTACCAACGCATCAAGCATGAAATATTACTTACGATTTAAAAAAAAAAAAAAAAATAACATGCTGGGTCTCATGGGAGGATTGTTAAATTACACGCAGATTCACAGCTCAAATTTAAAATAATTTAAATATAATACTGGGGCGAAAATACAGAAAATAGGGTGTAGGGAGCAGACCATTATAAAAAAAAATAAAAACAAGTTTAAAGTTTAAAAGAGGGACATAGAGTGATAATATACGTTAAATTGGTTAAGGGGGGGTAATCAGTATACAACTTAAAATATGGTAAGTGAAAGCGAAATTTGGATAATATATTTATCCAGAATTAAAATATTCTAAGAGAAATCTCTTCCTATGGTTATAACTTAGCATTAGTTCATTTTATTTATTAATTATTAAGTAGATTTAGGTCATTAATATTTTTGAGGATGAATCTTTTAAATATATATATATATGAAGAAAAATATATGGAAAAAACAAACAAAAATCATAATATGCAATGTTTTAATGTTAATATAATGTCAACGTCGGACGTTTCGGTCTAATAGACCATCTTCAGGACATATTCATAAAACATAATTAACATAGACCATATTCTATTCAACATGAAAAAGACGATGGACATAAAAGCAAGACCAATCCAAATAGATAACTGAAATCTTTTATAAGATGAGCGTTCCGTTTAAATATGATCACGTCTTTGTCACGTGGGCGATGTTGTGAAAACGTATTCCTAAAATTTGAGTATTTTGAATGAAAAACGAAAAAAATTTTATTTTGATCTAAAATTTATATGTACGCTTGTCGAGCATTAATCTCGCTAGAAAAGGGGAAATACTAAAGAAGCCAGGTCTAGTATTCACCGTGAACCAATGAATGATGGATATTATGCCTGCTTCATAAATCCGCCTAAGATTTTTATTATGAAAATATTTTAAAATCTTCACAGAATCAAAATCGAAATTATGATCAGCTTTAGTTGTGTGTACAACTAAAGCATTGTTTAAATTTCTGAGGCACATATCTCGTTTATGTTCGAAAACACGAGATTTTACGGACATATCATGATCATATTGTAAAACGGAACGGTGATCTTAAAAATTTCAGTTATTCTGTTTTGATTAGTCTTACTCTTATGTCTATCATCTTTTCATGTTGACTTGAATATCATCTAATGTTAATTATGTTTTAATAACTATGTCCTGAAGAAGGTCTACTAGACCGAAACGTCTGACGTTGATAGTGAAATAACATTAAAACAGCATATTTGCATATTCGGATTTTTGTTTTTCCATATATTTTTTTTCATATATATATATATATACATATATATATATACATATATGCAATAATGCAACTAAGACACAAAGAGTTACTGGGATTGAAAGAGAATGAGAAGACTTAAGAAAAAAAATGGAGGCCTAATACTAAACAAGGGATAAACCTTTACTCCTGTTCAAAAGATATACAGATGTGTGTGTGTGTGTGTGAATTGATGCTTTCTGCTAATGGAACTAAGCATAGAGGTCAAGGAAGTGTGCCAGGGGTCTGTTGAACATTCTGTATGCAATCACTGTGGCAAGAATAGTGTGCATTTTGAAAATTAGATTCATTGATCTCTGCTAATTTTGATTCAAGGTGACCATGTCTGGATTCTTAAGTTACAAGCTAAGGTGATTACTCAGTGAGATTAGTTCAAAAATCTATATTCAGAAATTGAACCATTAAAGACAGAAGAAGAGGCAGAGGACATTTGGAAGGATGTAATGCAGCCAAACAAATTAAATGCGTCATCTTATTTTTCAACTTCTTTTGACCAGCAATGTAAATCCAATTCATTATTTTTACTTGTTTCAGGCTTACGCCCATATCATGTTGAAACCCAGGTTTCCATATGATCAATAAATTTCCCAAATTTCTGAACTTTTTGTTACTACAAATTAAAAATTTCATCTAAGACATGTTTGCCCCACAAAGAAGAATTCCTCACCATATTTAGACATTGTACACATACTAAATTAAGGTTAGTAAATATCAAAATTTGAGAGTTATATAAATCCAATGTATTGATATTTTTTCTGCATAGAGGCATTTAATGACACTCCACTGATATATTTATACATCCATATTACATACCACTTTAACGAGATTGCTACTCGGCTGCTGTCTGTAAGAAAACAAATTGTCTTGCAAATAGAGATTAGAATATAGTCATCTTCAGAGTGGCTATTTCAGTATAAAAATGACCAATGTTTATCTTTTAACTCAAATGTAAATGGGACCTTTTATATATATATATATATATATATATATATATATATATATATATATATATATATATATTGTAATTTTCTGATTTACACTATTTACATTGTTCAGACTGTTGTCCTCATCTTTGTTGCCATATTCATGTTGTACACTGTGGTCTTTTTCAGGTGATTAGAAATTCAAACTGAACCCCTTATTTCATCCACTGAGGAAGATTGTTTCTAGTTCCACGTGCCATGCCTCTTCTGGATATCTTAGTATCAGTTATCTCCTTTTAACTCAACTTTTCAAGGTTTTGGGTGTTAATCATTTAAGCATTCTATACCATACGATCCTGAACAAAAAAATTACACGCTTTACCAAGTATCCCAAGACATAGGACTATTCTTAATAGATAAACGTTTCCAAAGCAGAAACTATGATCTTGAATTGCAATGTTTGTTGGTCGATATCAACGCCTCTATGGGTTATTTAATGCTGAAATCTAAATATTTTGAACACAAATTTATGGCCTCAACTAAATATATTTTGAATGCAATTGTATGCCTACAACTACAGATAAAATATATTGTTTGTCATTTTACTATCAAATGCATTGTTACTAATTCTACTATAAAATATATTTTACTATAAATATGTATCATTGGTAATTTTTTTTATATAAAAATGTCCTTCTGGTATTTTGAGTACAAAAATGTATTTTTATACTTTTATAGTGTCTTGTTTTTGTTTGAGGGTTCACTATTTGCCCATAGCTGGGACCCTAACAGGTGCTACCACCCTGGATTAAGGGGGACCTGGGAACAACAGCAATTACATGGTTCCATGCTAGTCAAAATAGGAAGACGAATACTATGTAACAGTTCAGTAATTTTTTCTTTGTTTCTAATGAAATTTTCCTGTCTCTTTATACTTTGCTGAGCTTTTTAGAAGGCAACTTTTGCTATCTCAATGCACCTTCGGATTTCAGTGTTGCACTTTCTGTCATCTGTTAAAACACTTCCCATATCAGTATCTGTCTATATTTCTGAGATGAGGTATTATGTACACAATTTACATTATTCAGACTATTGTCCTTGTCTTTGTTGCCATATTTATCACAATGTTTCGGCTGTTGCATGCTCCGGCCTTCTTCAGATGGTTGAAATGTCCAACTGAACCCTTTATTTCACTCGCTGAGGTAGACTGTTCTAGTTCCATGTGCCATGTCTAATGGATGTTAGTTATCAGTTATCTCCTGTTAATTCCCCTCTCCAAGTTCTCCACTGCCTTAACCAGGTATTGAACTCACAACTCTTTGGGTCATGTCACTGGATCTAAGTAACACCTTAATCCACTGTGCCATGTGTCCTTGGTAATGTAAATTGTGCACTTCCCACATATTTAAATTTCTCTACTTGTTTGATTTTTGTATCGAATTTGTAATTTGCTTGTTGGTCTCTTCCTTTTGCTGACAATCATGCATTCTGTCTTCCTGCAACTGGCTGTTCTTTAATATCTTTTGTAGGAGTTCTTGGAAGTGATAAATTTTTTTGTTCCACTGTGGGAAAAAAAAAAAAAAAAAAAAAAAAAAAATTGGTGCAAAATAAGCAATGAATAGGAATGGTAGTATTAACTGTTTTCCAACACAGAAACATTCAGCAATCATTGACTGAGCTGCTAATATTAATTTTGGTTGAAATTCTTTATATATATTATATCAACTGTGGATAAAAGCATCGGTGAAAGTAATTCAAAAAGTGACTTGACCCAAAGAGTTGTGAGTTCAATACCTGGCCACAGCAGAGGGAACAAAAACTTGAAGACTTGATTTACTAAAGGGAATTAACTGAAACTGTGATACCCAGAAAAGGCATGGCACATGGAATTAGAACAATCTACCCAACTGTGGTCTAAATAAAGGGTTTGTTTCAAAATTCCAATGTGTATCACCTGAAGAAAGCTGAAGTGTATAACAGATGAAATGTTAGGAATACGGTAGTAATGATGTCATAGTTAATAAATCCCCAGATTACTTTAGGAATTTCTCTTTTTTCAAATCCGGTAGCTATTATCACTATTTTCATTATTGATCAATGTTTCCTTCCTAACTTTTAATTTGAAATAGCGTGGAAGGTCATCATTTTGCTTATATCATTATTTCGTGTTCAAGTTACGTGTGCTATCCATTTCAGTTATTGCTGCTGTTGGTAGTCCTAAAATAATATGGTCTCTCTTATTTAGTAAAGTTCATTGTGATTCTGTAGCTCCAGTTTACAATGTTCAAAGAATGATGACCTTCGCCAGGACTCTCAAGCTCTACTCACTCAAAGCTTTTCTTCACCAAAAATCTTTGGAAGTGGTTATATACAGGTGACAGTTTAGATATTTCTGAATGGGTTTGATGTCATGTATGGTATCTATATGAAAGACCTGATCTGACGAGTCTATTTAAGAACATCACTCAAGTTTTCAGTCAGATGTCTTGGTTTTTACCATGTTGAGAGAAACTATCTCTCGCTCAGTCTGTTCTATGTTCAATTTCCCTTTTCTCCTTTACTAAATTTGTTATAACTCATTTATATGTCAAGGTATTTGTAGTTTTTAGTATTTACTAATTCCGCATCTTGAATTAGTATGATTGATTCATGGTATGTGCTTTCATTCAAATTCCTGATCATAGTTTCTGTTTTGGAAAAGTTCATCTTCAGTCATGTTTCTCAGAACACTTGATAGAGGATTTTGATTTTCTCTACAATGTTGTACCATAAATTTTTATAAATAGCCAAAATTGGAGATCCATATTGACCAGAAGGACTTGCCTAACACTTGTATGAAAATCATGGATATATTCAAATACAAGGCCTGCTATGATCCTAATCAAATGTAGCGTTTGCCAAATTCAGGACATTTTCCTGGAGCAAGCATCCAATGTCTTCACTTGGACATTTTTGGTGTTTCCGCGGATATATGTTGGCCGTTTGCCCAAATGGCCACAACATATTTGGGAATCAGCTTGTTTACGTGAAGAGACACAGAATGGATTTTGGCAGCATCTCCAGTTAATTTGCCTTGTGGTTTTAACCTTGTCTGCACCAAGTGACAATCCGTTTGTGACAAGTGCGCTGGAGTTAAAATGAGAACAGACATCTCTTATGACTTTTCTGAGAGGGCAGCCAGATCTGTTTATTGAGTTTCAGTAAGAAAGAAGGATGAAAGGCCTAATGTCTTTTCAGGAACCACCTAATTATGGTCATAAATATCAACAATTTCTTTACTTATTCATATTTATAAAATACCTGCTTTTTTTTTTGGCTTGATTTTTGATTGGTATATTTGTACTTATCGTTAACCAATTGGATTGTTTTATTATTTTTTTTCCTTTTTTTATTGCTCGTTTATGAATTTTTTTTCCATAATTACTTGTTGAGTACCATCAGAGAAAATTAAGTTGTAGTACAAGTTGTCTTTAACTCTATAAGATTTCTGTAACAACAACATTTTCAGAAAGATATCTATTTTCTAAAGTTCTTTTTGTTATTACGCTAAGTCCACTTGCATGTTTCTAATCTGGACATGGCTACATAGAGCTGACCATGAGAGGAACATTTGAATAATTTTTTAATGTTTATATTAATAATAATAAAAAGAAATTAATTCAGCAAAATTAATATTGTTTTACTCATTTAAATAACTTGGTACTTTTAAGAAAATATAATTAAAGAGATTAATTCATCTTATTTAGTTAATTCCATTTTTTTTTTTTTTTTTTGGGTTCTGTTCAACTAATTTATTGTGATGGGAAATAGCAGACAACAACAATTCTTATTATGAATACTGTTGGTTTTCTAACTTATGACTAAATTTTAACAAGGTAGATATAAATTCTTTCTATACAAACATGATGAATAAAAAAAAATATTAGCAGTAAAATTGCTTATATATGTAATTTTTAAAATTTGAATGAAAAATAACACAGAGGAAATACTTATTAAAATATGCTTGCAAATATTAGACTGTTTATTTTGTAAACACTGCTAGTATTATATTATTTATTTTATTATATTCTAATCAAATACCTATTCTAAGAAGTTGTCATAGGAATTCTCTAATCTCTCTAAAATTTCTATATAAACAATTTCAGAAAGATAATTATTTTCTAAAGTTCTTTTTGTCATTATGCTAAGTCCACTTGCATGTTTCTAATCTGGACATGGCTACATAAAGCTGACCATGAACGAAACATTTGAATAATTTTTTAATGTTTATATTAATAATTAATTCAGCAAACCTACTATTTTTTCACTTGTTTAAATAATTTGGTACAGTTTTAGGAAAATTGAAATTAAACAGATTATTTTCACTTATTTAAGCAATTTCATAAAAAGATTTTTAGCTCTTCAACTAACTTGTAGTAATGTGAAATGTCAGACTACAACAATAATTATTTCAAACATTACAAGAAATAAGATAATAAGATTTTATAATTATAATGGTTGATATTAAGAAGTTGCCCATTATAAATTTACAATAATAATAATGAATAAAATAAATTAGTAGTTTAATTTATTTTATTTATTATATTCTAATTAAATATGCATTCAAAGAAGAGAGAAAAGTAAGCTGGTATAGAGATTCTCTCACCTTTTCTAAAATTACTATATAAACATTTTCAGAAAGACATCTATTTTCTAAAGTTCTTTTTGTTATTATGCATGTTCCTACTCGGGACATGGCTATATAGAGCTCACCATGAGGGAAACATTTGAATAATTTTCTAATATTTATACTATTAATAATATAATACGCAAATTATTCTATATTCAATGTGAAACAAAAGGCACATAAAATATCCCAAAGTAAATAAGCAGCCCCCTCCTGGCAAATCATCTGAATCAAAAAATATATTGTCCAATCCACTAACTCTATCACAACTATGATTGAATTTAACATAAAATTTATTACAACTACATCTAAGCCAATAAATGACTTAGTCAATACAAAACAAAAAAATAAGCTAAAACCTAAATGAAGAATTTACTCTATCACCTGTAATAATTGTCACAAAGATACATCGGAGAAACCTCAAGGAATTTAAATAAAAAATTATATGAACACAAAAGGGATATTTTACAAAACAACACATTAAATGTATTAGTTGCTCACTATAATGAGACTGGCCACAATTTTGATATAAAAAATGCTACTCTGATCAAAGGAGAAACAATTCACTATGAAAAATTGCTGAGAGTGCTTTGATCGCTAGATCATCCACTGTAAATTTGCGCCTAGGCTCTTACATTTCACAATTCCTGGCAGATCTATTATCACAGTGTGGTTATCTAATAAGAAAAGTGATGGAAACAAAATGAAAAAGAATCTAAGATGGTAAGGCTTTATAATTATAATGTTTGATATTACAAAGAAGACCATTATAAAATTATAATGAATAAAACAAGTTATAAGTTTATTTTATTTATTATATTCTAATATAATTCTAATATATTAAAGTAATTCAAAAAGTGACTTGACTCAAAGAGTTGTGAGTTCAATACCTGGCCACAACAGTGGGAACAAAAACTTGGAGACTTGATTTACTAAAGGGAATTAACTGAAACTGGGATACCCAGAAAAGGCATGGCACATGGAATTAGAACAATCTACCCAACTGTGGTCTAAATAAAGGGTTTGTTTCAAAATTCCAAAATGTATCACCTGAAGAAAGCTGAAGTGTATAACAGATGAAATGTTAGGAATACGGTAATAATGATGAGGAGAACAGTCTGAATGATGTAAAGAGGGTAAATAACTGTCATAGTTAATAAATCCCCAGATTACTAAATGAATTTTATTGAAACAAGAGCAAGGACTTGTGCTTTCAATTCATAACATTTTGTCTGCTAGAGAATAACATGTTTATCAGTGGCCATTTTAACTTTCCAGTTTCTCAATCAAATATTCATTTGCCAATTCTGAAGTGCATCCTGCGAGTGGACTCCAGGTGTTCTCACACCATAGTGAGCAAGAAGGTGTGCCAAATCGGGAAGAAACAAAGCACTGACACCATAACGATTAGCAGCGGAATGTGGCTGTGCAGAGTTAGGTCTGTAACCCTTTGTGTGGGAAATGGAAGGGCTGTTTTGATGGAGGCCCTGGTCGTGTTAGAGGACCTCCTTGAATTTGATCTAATTGGAATAATGATCAAGGCTCATGGTGGAATGTCTATTTCTAAGTCAGGGGAGGTTCAATTCACCTAAGGGCCAGTTTCTGTGTGCACAGTGGCACCAGTACACTTGATTGAAGAACCTGATTTTGAGGTGGAATTTGATCAGCAGCAGAATGAGTGGACTGCATCCAGTACACTTGACTGGAGAACCTGATTTTGAGGTGGAATTTGATCAGCAGCAGAATGAGTGGACTGCATCCAGTACAATTGGCTGGAGAACCTGATTTTGAGGTGGAATTTGATCAGCAGCAGAATGAGTGGACTGCATCCAGTACACTTGACTGGAGAACCTGATTTTGAGGTGGAATTTGATCAGCAGCAGAATGAGTGGACTGCATCCAGTACACTTGACTGGAGAACCTGATTTTGAGGTGGAATTTGATCAGCAGTAGAATGAGTGGACTGCATCCAGTACACTTGACTGGAGAACCTGATTTTGACGTGGAATTTGATGAGCAGCAGAATGAGTGGAAGTAGGTAGAAGGCAAAATGACAGGCAGGTTGAAAAACCATGTCGCAGAGTATTCATTGTACGAGAGGGAGTTGCAACAATGGGTTGAGAAGGATTGCCTTATTCCATATGAACCCCCAGAAACTTGGATCCCCCAAAGGGGTACCTCCACTGATGGCCATCATGCAGCAAAACAAGTCGAAAGTGCATCCCATAATGGACTACAGAGAACTCAACCTCATTGTCAATACAATGTAGATGCTGATGTTTGCGCAAGCAAACAAAGTAAATGGAGACGCAAAGGACTGAACATCGCACTGTGAGACTCAATCTGCATGGACTGGGTGATGTCTTGTGTGACTGAAAATTTGTATAGTGACCTCACTAGACACCATAAAAGCCAGCATTTGTTAACACTGAGGAGTTGCTTGAAGGGATGTGATAGGAGTAAAGGAAAAGAATTACGATAACTACATTATTACACACGCACACACAATTCACACCACATCGCCAAATTCTCTCTGTCGTACACAAAAATTTAAAGAAGACATAAACACTTTGTTACACAAATATACGGATAGGCTTTCAGTTACAAGCACATGTAAATCTCTGCATAGATGTGTGCACACGCAAATACACACTGATATTTTGTTGAAAGGCTGCCCTTGCTAGACATTACTCCTATTTATTTGGGGCTTTGTTATTTTATTTCTCTTCAAATGATAAAAAGGAAAATACTTAAAACTTCTGCTTGAACAAATCAAAGGCCGTTTCTAAGAGAGAAAGTCGTCACAGTTGGCATTAGCAAAAAAGACGATAAACTATTTTGGAAGGTTCCAGAAAGGAGTTGGTCTGTAAAAAAAACTGGAGGTAGTAGAGAAATTTCCCAATACTGGGAAAGAATAAAAGAACATAAACCTTATGTTGTTCACATGATTTTCTTTGCCTTTGGTTGCATTTTTTAAGGGCTGCAACTGAGATGAAAAGAAGAAAGGAGATAGTTTGAAACCATTTCTACAAGAAAAATGAAAACCCTTTACAAAAAACAAGAGTTCCTGTTCATATTTTTTTTTATTTTTCTATTCTTTCATATTTTCTTTTTCAAAATTCCCTTTCCTTAATATTTCTTCTTCTTCTTCATTGATATTTTTCACTTTCTGTTTTTTCTTTTTCCAAAATTCCCTTTCCTTAATATTTCTTCTGCTTCATTGATATTTTTCACTGTTTTTATCTTTTTCCAAAATTCCCCTTCCTTAATATTTCTTCTTCTTCTTCATTGCTATTTTTCACTTTCTGTTTTATCTTTTTTCCAAAATTTGAAACCCCTTCCTTAATATTTCTTCTTCTTCTTCATTGATATTTTTCACTTTCTGTTTTTATCTTTTTCCAAAATTCCCTTTCCATAATATTTCTTCTTCTTCTTCATTGATATTTTTCACTTTCTGTTTTTATCTTTTTCCAAAATTCCTCTTCATTAATATTTCTTCTGCTTCATTGATATTTTTCACTTTCTGTTTTTTTTCTTTTTCCAAAATTCCCTTTCCTTAATATTTCTTCTTCTTCTTCATTGCTATTTTTCACTTTCTATTTTTTTTCTTTTTTCAAGCTTTTCTTTCCTTCATATTTCTTCTTCATCTTTTTATTCTTCATTGCGATTTTTCACTTTCTATTTTTTCTTTTCCCATTCTTACATATTTTCTTTTACAAAAATTCATTCTTTGATTCTACTTCTTCATTAAAGTTTCTCACTTTCTATATTTTTGTTTTTCTTTTCCTACTTTATTTTCCAAAAATTAATTTTTCTTCTTCCTCTTCACAATTTGCCAAGATCTTGCATATTTCATTTTTTTCTTTTCCTATTCTTTCAGAATTTTTTTCACAAAAATCTCCTTTTCTTCTTTATAATTTGTAACTTTTTTTTTTCTCTATTCTTTTGTTTTTCCACTACAAAATCAATCGATCTTTCTTTCAATCTTTCTTCTTCAACTTCATTACAATTTGTTACTTTCTTCTTTTTTTCTTTTCTTCAACATCATCTTATTTTTCTTTCCTCATTGAATTTCTCTCTTCTTTATTGCATTCATTCTTTCTTTCCTTCCCAATCTCTTTGTTTTGGGCTACTGAACAAAATAGCTATTTTTTTTTAAAGATTTTAGCAGTGATAAGAAAATCTCCCCACAAAAATGATCAGAATCATTTTGGTTCTTTTCAAATGAATGGCAAAATCAAAACAGAAAAAGTTCAAACAAAAGATGAAAGAGAAATAGTTGAAGGGAAAAAACTAACAAATAGTTGAAATCTTCTTGTATGCTTTTCTGGCAATACATCCTTCTCATCTTAAGAAAAAATTTTATAAGATTGACTATCAAATAGTTAAAATATTCTTGTATGCTTTTCTCGCAATATGTCCTAATGTTATGCATTTATATATGTGCTATTAAACTTCAGTGTCACACTTTCTGTCTTTTGTTAAAACACTTCCCAGATATTTAAATTGTTGTATATGTTTGATTTTGGTATCCCCAATTTGCAATTTGGGATGTTCCTTTTACTAACAACCACGCATTTTATCTTCTTGCAATTAATTTTTAATTCTTTTTTCTCTCTTTCCTTTACTACATTCTGTAGGAGATCTTGTAGTTTCCTTTCTATGTCTGCTTTCAACACTGTGTTATCTGCATATCTTATGTTGTTAAGATTGTGGCCACCAGTGATGAATCCTGGTAGGGCTTCTACTCCTCTCAGAATCAACTCACTGTATAGGTTGAATAAGTCTGTTGAGAAGATACATCCTTGTCTTACAACCCTTTCTATTTCTGTATATTTACTGAATTCATTTTCTATTTGTATGTAGGTAGTTTTTTTTGTCTATAAGTTCTGGATTATTCTAATATCCTTCCCAAATATGTCATGGTTGTGTTCAAGAACAGAATTGCTACTTAGGAGAAAATTATTTGGAATAATTTTGATATTGGATTATCGGTTAATCACAGAAAAAACATATATTTAGTCATACTAATTAGAGATAAAAAAATAAATATTTAAATATTTCCGAGAGAGGTGATAAAGGCTGAAATCATGCTTATGAATACTAAGTTGAAACTCAGTTTGAATGGAAATACAACAGTGAATATTGTCACACTTTCTGTCTTTTGTTAAAACACTTCCAAGATATTTAAGTTGTTGTACTTGTTTGATTTTGGCATCTCCAATTTGTAATTTGCATGTTGGGCTGTTCCCTTTTGTTTACAACCATGCATTTTATCTTGCAACTGACCTTTAGTCCTTTCTTTCCCACTTTCTTTTACTATCTTTTGTAGCGGTTCTTGTAATTTCGTTTTCTTTTGGCACAGTTTCATCTGCATATCTTATGTTGTTAAGATTGTGGCCACCAATAATGAATCCTGGTAGGGTGTCTAATTCTCTCAGAATCAACTCACTGTATAGGTTGAATAAGTCTGGTGAGAAGACACATCTTTGTCTTACAACCTTTTTCTATTTCTGTGTATTTACTGAATTCATTTTCTATACGTATTTAGGTGTTTTTTTGTCAGTATAGGTTCTAGATTATTCTAATATCCTTCCCCAAATATGTCAAGGTTGTGTTCAAGAACAGCATTGCCACTTGGGAGATAAATATTTGGAATAACTTTTCTTAGTTTTTGGAAAGGATCTTTTGCTATCTTTTAAATTTCATTGTCACACTTTCCGTCCTTTGTTAAAACATTTCCCCCAAATTTAAATTGTGGTACTTTTTGATTTTTGTATTTCCAATCTGTAATTTGCATCTTGGGCTGTTCCTTTTGTTGATAGATTTTCTTGCAATTCTTTACCACATTCTGTAGAAGTTCTTGAAGTTTCCTTTCTGTGCTACTGTTGTATTGAAAGAAACAGAAAAATGAAGTTCATAATTATATTTTGTGTGTGCATGTGCAAACAGTTCACAGAGTCCACAAACACTCTACTGGTCCTGTATTTACTTGTGGCCTCACAAGGGACAAGATGAAGGCTTGTTTTTAATCTTGGGTGCCTATAAGTGTACATATGGGCCAAGGACAAAAATTACCCAGTCCTCATGATCACTGTCATACTGGTGTTGGTATCCATCAACTTTCTCTCTTTAGTGCAATGTGGAAGGTGCTGTTGCAAGTTTGGAATCTCTGGATGCTTATCTGAGAACTGTTGGAAGACAGAAACATAGCAGAGAAGGTAAAGAACAGAAATCTTTGTCCCTTCCTAAATTCCGAGAAAAGAAGTGCTGATCCTAGCCAGAAGTGCCATGGAGCAAATCCCTAGTGCACAAATATGCTTATCCTAGACAGAAGTGCCAATCGAAATCTAAATAATGCTGGAATATTTTTTTAATACTACGATAGATTTTATTAAATGCATTCCTGCAAATAATTATATGATCTTTCTTTAACATTGATATCTGTCCTAAGTAAATATATACCTGGATATATAAAAATCCAAAGAAGAATCAGCAATATTATGGGTCCTGATCTGTCGTCTCGGCTTCAGTCCCTTTCTCACTGCCGTAATGTAGCTTCCCTATAAATAATTTCATGGTAATTGTTCAGATGAACTCTTCTCTATAGTACCTAGACTTTATGAATTTAAGTGCAGTACTAGATTGTCAGAAAGGTCTCATCAATTTACTGTTGAGTCGGCTAGATGTAACAGTAAGTGCTATGCTAACAGTTTCTTTTCTTGCACTTCTCGCTTGTGGAACTCTCTTCTGGCTCCAGGCTTTCTGGTCAACTTCAGTCTTCAAAAATTTAAATGCTATGTCAATTACTATCTAGTGTCTTCCTGATTGCTTTTTTTCTCACTCGTTAGTAATATTTATGTTTTTTAATTTGTCAATACCCAGTAACCCCTTGTTTCTTTGTGGCTTGCCTGCATCACCATGTGAACTTGTGTGTGTGTGTGTGTGTGTGTGTATATATATATATATATATATATATATATATAATTTAGAGAGAGAGAGAGAGCATTATGTTATTTAATTGGATCTTTTAATCTAGCATTTATTGCTGTCTGTCTATATTTTTGAGATGTGGTATTGTAATTATTTACACTATTTACATTGTTCACAATGTTGTCCTCATCTTTGTTGCCATATTCACAACGTTTTGACCATTGTACACTCCAGCCTTCTTCAGGTGATTGAGTTTTGAACTGAACCCTTTGTTTTATTAAATCCATTGATAGGTCAGCTTCTAAGAAAGTTGGTTCACTGTTCCATGCTAGACAATTTTTCTCTCTAGATTCTATCTTACATATCTATAAGTCTACCATTCACCCATGCTTAGAATATTACTGCCACATATGGTCTGCTGTGCTTGCTATATGTTCAAAGATCCTTAATAACTCTAAAGAAGAATCAGTAATATTATTGGTCCTGATCTGGCATCTTAACTTCAGGCACTTTCCTACCACTATAAAGTTGCCTCCCTGTTCCTTTTCTATAAATAATTTCATGGTAATTGTTCGGATGAGCTCTTCTCTATGGTGGCTAGACTTTATGAATTTAAGTGCAGTACTAGATTGGCAGCAAGGTCTCATCAATTTACTGTTGAGTCGGCTAGATGTAACAGTTAGTTCTATGCTAACAGTTTCTTTTCTTGCACTTCTCGCTTGTGGAACTCTCTTCTGGCTCCAGGCTTTCTGGTCAACTTCAGTCTTCAAAAATTTAAATGCAATGTCAAACATAATCTGTTTTCTTGATTACTCTTCTTTTATTGTTCTTGCTCCTTAATAATGCTTCTCTTTTTTTCTTATTCTTTCACACTCAGTAAACCCTTGTGTCTTAGTGGCTTTACTGCCTTACATGATTAAAAATAAAAAATATTCCTTTACACTATTTACATTGTTTGCACTGTTGTCCTCATCTTCATTGCCATATTCACAATCTTTCAGCAGTTGTACACTTTGGCCTTCTTTAAGTGATTGAAATTTTAAACCCTTTATTTTGCTCACTGGGGTAGATTGCTCTAGTTACCCATGCCATGCATCTTCTGGATGTCTCAGAATCAGTTATCTCCTTTTAACAACTCTCCAAGATTTTGTTCACCTCTGCCTTAGCCAGGTATTGAACTCACAACTCTTTGGGCCAAGTCATTAGATTCAACCAATGCTTTTTTTTTTTCTCGGTTATAATTTCATTGTTATTATTGTTTTTCTCTAAATCTCTGTATTACTGGTTGCCATATTTTATTCAATCCTATGCTTGACCATTTTAGATTTTTGTGGCCTAGCATATGTGAATTCCTTAAGTTTTTCAGTGATGTTCTCTATTATTTCAACCTCATCCCACAGGAAGCAGTGATCTCTCTTTTCCCTCCATATGTGGTCAGCTATACCTGATTTCTCTATTTCCCCTGGTGTTATGGCCTTACGGTGTTCCTGCAGTCTTATCTATTTTTTATATTTCTTATCACAGCTGCAGGTGATGACATATACACAGTTTTTAATCATGTTCTCCTCTATGTGGGGGCTTACTCAGAAGAGGTGTATGTGAAGTGTTAAACCACTTTTGAAGGTTGTCCTGATGTTATATAGGCCACAGATCTTTTATATTTTTTCTGATAATCCCTTCACACAGGATAGGCAGGCCAAGGATGTTTTGTGAGTGTTATTATCCTCTTGCACACTTCTACCTCAGTTTGTCAGCGCTGCTGCCCTGTACCCAGGGTAGTCATTACATTGTAGGATACTACATATACTGAGCATTTCTTGTTCATATGTCTCTGGGTTGTCAGTTATGACTTTTGCATGATGTTGTAAGTAGTAGACAATCCATTTTTTTTTTTTTTTAACGCTGTATGGGTGGTGGGAATTGAAGTTAAGGTATTGTTTGATGAATGTTGGCTTGTAGTATGTGGATGTGTTGAACCCATGCTCTGTTCGAGATATTAGTACATCCAAGATGTTGTTTTCTTTCTCCATTGTGAACTGTATCAATGATCTTATTTAGTTTACATGGTCCAGTAGTAGCTGGACATTTTCTTGATGTAGCCAGACTATGAAGGTGTTACCTATGTATCTCAGCCATAGAGTTGGCTTTAATGATGTGGATTCTTCAAAGTATTCCATATATATGTTAGGCATTATAGGTGATAATGGTGAGCCCATTGCTAAGCCT